AGGCAGGATTTACAACATATAGGAAAATCACAACAGTACCAGGAATCATGGCCCAGCCAAACTGATATACACATTTTTGGGGGGACATAATTCAAACCATGACAACACACATCTGGAATTGTGATTTTCTGATTCAACATCCTATGAGGTGTGTTTAAAAATGTTTCATATATGGGTTTTAGAAACAGACAAGAAGAGGTGATGGCAGGAACTCATTATCACTCATTTCTAGCAGACTTAATGCCAGATGCTTTGTTAAAGGCTTAACCTGCTGTAAAAATGGTACTGCGAGGGTGTCTGAGCTCCTCTAATTTCACAAAGGGAGTGGAGAATCAAGATCAGTGGCCCAAGGCTGATTCCTATGAGGCAGAAGTCAAACATACCACCACCCTCCAACCTTTTTACCAATTCTGACACCAGCTGTCCCTCCCATGGCACTCTCTACTTCTCTGCTGAGCTCAATAAATTGTTGAACTCACAGACAATACTTAACGATTATGGGATTTATTATGGAAGTAACAGGTTACAGTTCAGGATCAGAAACGACTAAGGGTACAATTCTTTGATCAGGACAGCTTCTTCTCAGTCATGCTCACAGGCAGGCCTCTCCCTGGCCCTCAGCCCCTTGGCCCCTTGGCCCCTCTGCCCCTCAGGCCTCTTGGGCCGGCCTAGCCTCTTCCCTGCTTGGGTAAGTGTTACAAAGTTTTTTAGCTACACCGGTAAGTGCCCAGAGGCACCCTACTCTGCCAGTAAGCCTCAGGCGCTCAGCTTTCTAGATCCGTGGGTTGGTGAGCGTAGTTCTGCCAAGTACCCCGAGGCACCCTACTTGCCAGCAAGCCGCCTCCCTGAAGGTGCTCAGCTTTCTCGCTCCGCGGGTCTGTGCCGTCTCCTGCCAGTCTCCTGGTTCTGCTGCTTCTGCTGCCACTGTTTCTCTGCGGCTGCTTCTCGCCGTCTCTAGCCATCTCTGGTGTTAAACACCTCTCTCTGTCTCTTGTTCTAGGAGGTTCTCAGCACAAGGATCCTGGGTCCAAAGGACACGCTCCACTCCTAGTTGTTCTTTCTTGATGGTAGTGAGGTCCCTCCTTTCCACCTCTAGGATGGCTTATTTTAAGTCTAGTGGGATGGCAAAATTGACCAGTCCCCTCATTAGGATTCCATATACCTTATTTGCATGGTCCAGTCCCCTTGGTGGACCGTAAGCACCTTATTTGCATAGTTTCACCCAATCTTTTGGTGAGAGTTATAAGACAATGGCTATAGAAAGGCCATATAAAAGTAATCCATTGCACTGCATCTCCTACACAGGATTTTTTTAAAAATAGTTCTAAGGATCATGGTGTAAATAACGTATACATCTGTCGGCTAATTTCCCACTCTTTTGAAAAGGACAGAAATGTTCTTTTTTAAAAAAATTAGTTTAAAATTAAATAACTTAAATGCTGTTCTTTAATGGATACTTCCTGTTCCATCAGCTTTAAGCAGTATATCTTAACTCCCTACAATGTCTAAGGTGAGGAAATCAGTGCTCAGTACTGTCCTTCACCATTATCTTTTCCACCTCCTAATTTCTATTAGCTGTATAATATTGATTTATTCAAGACTGCTGTATAAGGCATGGTTTAACAGTTGGTATAGTAAAAACATCCTTGCGTTTAATGTCACTTGATTTCAGTCACAACTCTCCAGTTGTCTCGTTTGTAAAAATGAGGTCTCATCTTAAAACTCAAGAGTAGTTAAATGCATCTGACTCTGTGTAGCATATAAAAGTCATTTTATTTACCTTCATCAAGAGCTGCCTTGTATTATCAGAGTTGGCATAATGTAAGTCATTCTGTACTGTATGTGTTGGCAACAGGTCTTTGTCAAGAGAATGGACTAGTTAATGGCCAGGGTGATGCTTGCCTTCTTCTTAGAAGTATTTACTCTCAAGAATGGGAGGTCACTTTCTTTCCCTCCCCTGTTACCATGTAAACTAAGTTGGAAATAACTGTGGCTGACCTTTGTTCTTGCCAGTCCTTGTGAACCCAAATAAGGTTTTATATCTTCTGAAGTTAGGGTCATACCCATTGCCGTCGAGTCTATTCCAACTCTCAGTGACCCTATAGGACAAGGTTTCCAAGGCTGTAATCTTCATGGGAGCAGACTGCCACATCCTTCTTCCAGGAAGCGGCTGGTGAGTTCGAACCACCAACTTTTTGGTTACCAGCCGAGCGCTTAACCACTGCACCACCAGAGCTCCTTAAGCTAGGGTCTGCTGTAAGAAATTGTTCAAGAGTTTGTCACATCAAAGAAGCATTATGGGTAATAGAAGAGGCATCTGACTTTGGGTCTGGTTGTTTTACTAGTTTTTTTTTTTTTGGAGGTGTGATTCAAGTAACATAAAATTCATTATTTTAACCATCTTGAAGAATACAATTCCTTGGTTTATAGGGCATTCACAATGTTGTAAAACCATCACAACTGATTCCAGAACATTTTCATCACCCCAAAAAGAAACCCTATACCATTAAGTAGTAACTCCCCATTCCCTTCTCCCCCAGCACCTGGCAACCATTTATCCGTCTCTCTGGCTTTGCCTAGCCCTGGTGGTGCACTGGTTAAAGTGCTCAGCTGCTAACCAGAAGTTAGGCAGTTAGAACACTGTGGGAGAAAGATGTGGCAGTCTGCTTCTGTAAAGATGTACAGCCTTGGAAGCCCTATAAAAAACCAAACCCGTTGCTGTCGAGTCGATCCTGACTCATAGTGACCGTATAGGACAGAGTGGAACTGCCCCATAGGGTTTCCATGGAGCACCTGGTAGATTCACGCTGCTGACCTTTTGTTTAGCAGCCGTAGCTCTTAACCACTGCACCACCAGGATTTCCTGTGGGGCAGTTCTACTCTGTCCTGTAGGGTCACTATGAGTTGCAGTCGACTTGAGGGCAATGGGTTTGGTTTTTTGGGTTTAGGATTTGCCTGTTCTGGACATTTTATGTAAATAGAACCATACAATATGTGACCTTCTGTGTCTGGCTTCTTTCACTTAGTGTAATGTTTTCAAGGTTCCTCCATGCTGTACTATGTATCTGTACTTCATTCCTTTTTATAGCTGGATCATATTCTTTTGTGGGGTTATTCCACAATTTGTTTATTCATTCATCCATTGATGGACATTTGAGTGGTTTCCACTTTTTGCTTATTATGAATAATGTTGCTATAAACATCCATGTGCAAGTTTTTATTTGAACACCTGTTTTCAGTGTTCTTGAGTATATACCTAGGATTGGAATTACTGGGTCATATGGTAATTCTGTGTTAACTTTTTGAGGAACTGCCAAACTCACTAATTATTTTTGGACCTCAGTTTCAACATCTGTAAAATGTAGAGGTTTTGTCTTTTAAAAAATATTTATTGAATCCCTTCTATAAGCCAGACAACATGCTGGACACACAGGGATCTTTTCACAGAGCTTAAATGTATCTGACTTTTAACCTGGATGGTGCAAACAGTTAATACGTTCAGCTGCTAACAGAAAGGTTGGAGGTTTAAGTCTACCCAGGGGCTCCTCAGAAGAGAGGCTGGTGATCTACTTTTGAAAAATCAGCCATTGAAAATCCTAAGGAGCACAGTTCTGCTCTGGGAAACACAGAGTCGCTAGGAGTCAGAATCCACTTGATGGCACCTGGTTATTGTCTGGTTGGGGTTAGGGGAGCAGGAAAACAGACATTAAACAAATGTAAATTCTATAAAGGAAATGTATAGGGTTCCATGAGAGAACTGAACTCTTCATATCTAAACTGGTGTAAGCAGTTGTCGGGGAATGTCTCCTTGAGTGAGTACTGTTAACACTTTGACAATATATTTTGGCTGAGTGAAGTAATAACGTCTGATGTTTGTTGATTGCTTATTCTTTGGCAGACACTGTTCTAATCTTACAACTATATTTCTATTACTCATTTTACAGATTAGTAAACTAAGGTATGAAGAGGTCAGATAATTTGCCCGTAATTCATACTAGTGAGTTTTAAAGCCAGTATTCAAACCCAGGCAGTCTCACCTCAGAGCCCCAGCATGTTATACTTCTCTTTCCTTTCCAAGGGAGGTAGCCCTATGCAAAGCCTCTGATGAAGGGTGTTGCTTACTATTTTTGAGGAAAGATAAATGTAACTAGAGTATACTTAAAGTGGCACAGGAGCAGTGGGGTTCTGTGGAAAGAGAGCAGAGCAGTAGGATATGAAGTTTAACAGTGAGATGTGGCCAAACTATACAGTGCTTTCTTGGTCATGTTAAAGATCTTAATGGGATTGGACTGTGTGCATAGTTGATACAGTTCTTCCTGCTTTTTGGCAGTGGTTACTTTATTTTTTTCTGTTTTGACACCATTTTCTTATAACACAGTCTGAGAGGTGTTTAACAAGAAACTAATGAAGCTTAAGCTTCAGGTTCCTCACTTTCATGGGCCCCTATGAATTCTAGAAATTATTGTGAATTATAGAATGTTCTAGGTGGCTAAGAGAAGCAAAGTTGTAATCACTAAACATTTCTGGTAAATTACCAAAAGAGATCCAGAAAAAGGCCCTCAAAACCTGGATCCATTCCTTAACATTCTTGTCAACAACATGTCTCTCACACTTAACTTGGAATGGGGTTCCTGGGGAGGAGCAAACTGCTGAGAATTGCTATCTGAAGGCAAGATGTCAGAGTCAGAAGACTCTGAAAGGGACCTACACTTGGCAATAGTTGGTAAATCATTAGGCTGTAATACAAACTAGGTAAAAATAAAATGTTTAGAGTATAGGAAACACGGGGGCGGAAAAGGCTACCAAAAGAAAATTATAGAAACTTGGAAATTACTGTTTTGATTAGTACAATTAGATTTGTTGATAACATATGTGCATTTCATTATTTTCAGTTTAGGGCAGTTTGTATAGCCATGGCATAAACAGTTTTTATTATATTTTATAAATGTGGAACCTGGTTGAAAACTTCCTAATGAACAATTTTTATTCTTTGGTTTTAGGCGCCTGATCACAGATTCAAAAGTTAAATTAAAGTATCAGCATTTAATAACCAATAGCTTTGTAGAGGTAAGTGATTTCTCCTGAATTTTCTTTCCTTTAATGTAGAGTTCTGTTTGTTAATCCAAATATTACTGTTTGTCTCATATACTTCTGTTAGTAAGAGACATCTTTTTACTATACACTTGGGTTATGGGTTTTACTTATGAAGCATACCAAAACATCTTTATTCTCAAAAGAACATGGCAAACCAATAAGTAGATCTCTTTTCAGAGATCTTGAGCTGGATATTAAATTATTTTTACAGTATTCATCCTTTATCCCTCTTAATTCCTAGTGGAGAATTGTAGCAATCATGTGGTGTTTAATCATGTTTGGGAGTCTGACTCTGCTACATCTCTGCTTGTTTTAGGTTTCTTTGCCAGTAGTTATTTGTTTTTGTGATGTTTCTTCTGTATATCAGAGCAGAGATTGGCAAACTGCTGCCTGCCTGATTTTGTAAATAAAGTTTTACTGGAACACATCCATACCCATTCCTTCTGTGACAACTTTTGCATTACAATGCCAGAGTTGAGTAGTTGCTACAGAGACTGTATGTCCCCCAAAGCCAGCTGTCTGGCTCTTTACAGAAAAAACGTGCCAATCCCTGTGTAAGGGCATCAGTGTAACTTGATGTTTTAATTCTAGCAAGTAATTTTTATTTCTGTTAAGGATTAAACTGAAGGTGGTCAGATCTTCTAGACAGCATATTTTAGGAATAGTATTTTTCTGAGATGGACAGTGGACTTTTGAGTTCTGATGCAGAGTGTAACTAGAGCTATGTTTGGTTCCACGATAAAAACACTTCAAAGTTATATTTCCTTTTGTGATACTAAAATAAAGTGTTCTGCCTGTGATTTAGGAACTGGCTTTTGATTCTTAGAAGAGCTTCTTACGGTCAAGGAGAAAAATTTCTTATATATCCCTTAACTTGTCTCAAGCTAATTTTTTTAGTATCTAACCATCTTCCCCAATTAGAAGCATATCTGATTTCTTGCATCTTATGAAAATTGCCCCGAAATAGAACCATAAACAAATTAATGGTCATTAATGATTACATAATGGGTAATTATCTTAAACTTTCTCAGTGATGTTTTGAAGATAGAACAAGAGATACCATATTTCACATATTCTATAAAACTATGTCTTTAAGGTTTCTATAATCTTGGGAAAATAATGCATCCAGAAGCATTGCCATAGAAGACTAAAGTTTCGTTGGCAAGTTTTTATATGCTTGTGTCACCATTACCCCCTTCCCTCTCAAGCAGATCCTTCACCTTGCACACTAGGGAAGCAGTATAAATAATTGCTTGGTGTCCTAGAAATAAAAATTACTTGTATTATGATTTAATTTGTTGTCGTTTTTATTTTCCTACTTGTGTTTCAGTGCAATCGACTGTTAAAGTGGTGTCCTGCCCCAGACTGCCACCATGTTGTTAAAGTCCAGTATCCTGATGCTAAACCTGTTCGCTGCAAATGTGGGCGCCAATTTTGGTAAGCAAGTGATTTCCTAAATTGGAATAGTGCATATAGCTTTTCTATTGCTGCGACTTATTCTTGGCAGTAAAATAGTAGGAAAAAAAAAATGTTTACTTCAGACGGGGAGGTGTGAGTGATGTTGTTTTAAAATAGTGTATATTTCTTTTAAATAAGAATTGGATGATGGTTAATGTAACTAAATTGTACATGTAGAAATTATTGAATTGGTTTATCTTCTGCTGTGTGTATTCTCAACAAAAATTAATTAATTTTAAAAATGGCGAAGAAGCCATGTCTTACACAATTTTTCTTCTTCCCTGCTGCTCTGACTTTTGGATGTATTTTCTTGTGGGGGAAAAAAATGCAGCTATAATGACATCTTCCTGTAAGCTCATCTGTAAGCTGTATGGCAGCAACTTACAGATCTGGAACAGAAACTCAGTCCTTCTTGTTTCTGGTCTATTGCTTATTTTGTCAAATTACATTTGGTTCCTTATGGCTTTTGCTCTCCTTTCAAATTATATCTTAGAAAATGAAATACACAATTAGGATTTTTTTTTTACTTTCTTTATTTTGACGAGTTTACTCTTACTCCTAGAAGGAAAACATGTAGATAAATTTGGAAAGATGTAACATGGTTGATTAAATATGGTTTTCCTGTGTCTCCTCTGGCCCCAGTTTTCTTGCTAACCTGGGCTCTTGGAGTTCTGTAGCACATTCTCCAGCCTCTGTATTCTATATTTTACTTACCAGGAAATTTCCACATATTAGAAAGTTAAAATCTTCCATTCCTTTGAGGATCTCAAAGGAATGAGAAGCCAAGTCAAGCTAAGGGGCTCTGGAGCTAGCAATACTATGTCTTGTTGGTATTCTGTATCTTTTTTTTTTAAATCTCCAAACATCCGCAGAATTAGAATTAAACATCATTTTTAATAAATATTTCCATAAAGAACAGATAAACTCACTGAGATTAAATACGTATAAAATACATGGCTGTTCTGATAAGTAGTTGATTCCAAGATTAAATATGAATTGTTTAAGAATCTACCCTATTGTCAAAGGGTGGAGTCTGATTGATTCCATGTTGTTGTTAGGTGCCGTTAGGCTTCCTGTCTAACCTTTTGAGTTGCTGTTGTCAATTTGATCCTATATGTTGTTGTTGTTGTTAGGTGTCATTGAGTCAGTTCTGATTCATAGCGACCCTGTGTACAACAGAATGAAACACTGCTTGGTCCTGAGCCATCCTCACAATCATTGTTATGCTTGAGCCCATTGTTGGCAGCCAGTGTGTCAGTCCATCTCGTTGAGGGTCTTCCTTTTTTTCACCAAGCATGGTGTCCTTCTCCAGGGACTGGTCCTTCCTGACAACATGTCCACAGTATGTGAGATGAAGTCTCACCATCCTTACTTCTAAGGAGCATTCTGGCTGTACTTCTGCCAAGACAGACTGTTCATTCTCTGGCAGTCCATGGTATATTTAGTATTCTTCACCAAAACCGTAATTCAAATGCATCAGTTCTTCTTCGGACTTCCTTATTTGTTGTCCAGCTTTTACATGCATATGAGGCGATTGAAAATACTGTGGCTTGGGTCAGCTACACCTTAGTCCTCAAGGTGACATCTTTGCTTTTTAACACTTTAAAAGGTCTTTTGTAGCAGGTTAGCCCAATGCAATATCTCATTTGATTTCTTGACTGCTGCTTCCATGGGCATTGATTATGGATCTCAGTAAAATGAAATCCATGACAACTTCAGTCTTTTCTCCATTTATCATAATGTTGCTTGTTGGTCCAGTAGTAAGGATTTTTGTTTTCTTTATGTTGAGGTGTAATCCATACTGAAGGCTGTGGTCTTTGATTTTCATCAGTAAGTGCTTCAAGTCCTCTTCACTTTCAGGAGGCAAAGTTGTGTCATCTGTATATCACAGGTTGTCAGTGAGTCTTCCTCCAATCTTTTTCATATAGTCTAGCTTCTCGAATTATTTGCTCAGCGTACAGATTGAATAAGTATGGTGAAAGAATGCAACCCTGATGCACACCCTTCCTGATTTTGAACCATGCAGTTTCCTCTTGTTCTGTTCAAATGACTGCCTCTTGGTCTCTGAACAGGCTCCACATGAACACCATTAAGTGTTCTGGAATTCCCATTCTTCACCATGTTACCCTTAATTTGTTATGATCCACACAGTTGAATGCCTTTGCATAGTCAATAAAACAACAGGAAAACATCTTTCTGACATTCTATGCTTTCAGCCAAGATCATCTGACATCAGCAATGATATCCCTTGTTCCACGTCCTCTTCTGAATCCGGCTTGAATTTTTGGCAGTGTCCTGTCCATGTACTGCTGCAACCATGTGTTAAATTATACTCAACAGAATTTTACTTGTGTGTGATATTAATGATATTGTTTGATAATTCCCGCATTCTTTTGGATCATTTTTCCTTGGAATGGGCACAAATAGGTTCTCCTCCAGTCGGTTAGCCAGGTAGCTGTCTTCTAGATTTCTTGGCATATACAAGTGAGCACTTCCAGCTTTGCGTCTGTTCAGTGAAACATCTCAATTGGTATTCTGTCAGTTCCTGAAGGCTTGTTTTTCGCCAGTGCCTCCACTGCAGCTTGGACTTCTTCCTTCATTACCATCGGTTCTTGATCGTATGCTACTTCCTGAAATGGTTAAACGTTGACCAGTTCTTTTTGGTACAGTAACTCTATTCCTTTCATCTTCTTTTGAAGCTTCCTGCATTATTCAGTTTTTTGCCCATCGGTCCTTTAACATTGCAACTCGAGGTTTGAATTTTTTCTTCAGTTCTTTCACCTTGAGAAATGTTGAGTATGTTCTCTTTTGGTTTTTTAACTTCAGGTCTTTGCACATTGCATTATAAAACTTTGTCTTCTTGAGCTGCCCTTTGAAATCTTCTGTTCAACTCTTCATCATTTCTTCTTTTTGCTTTAGCTACTGTATGTTCAAGAGCAAATTTCAGAGTCTCTGGATTGATTGATTCCATATGTACTTTCAAATGTATTTTTAGTATGAAACATTAACAGAAATATAGAGACTAACAAGATAACCACCTAGATATCTACAACCTAGCTTTATCAAAATTAGTTTTTTTGTTTTTGTTGAAAAGTGAAATACAACAGATAAACATTTGAAGCCCATTAGTCCTCTGCTCCATCCCATTCCCCATCTTCCTCTCCAGAAGTAACCATTATCAGGACTTTATTTAAATCAATAGTTTGTCTTCTGTGCAAAGAATTTTTGACATTCCCAAATTACTTGCGAGTCCCTGGGTGGCATAAATGGTTAAGTGCTTGATTACTAGCCAAAATGTTGGTAGTTCGAACCCACACAGGGGTGGCTCAGAAGACTTGCCTGGTAATCTACTTCCAAAAGGTCACGGTCTTGCAAACCCTCTGTAGAAGTTCTGCTCTGCACCCATGGGGTCAGCATGAGTCGGAATCGACAGCAGCTGGTTTGGTTTTGGTTTAGAGAACATTTAGCCCCCGTCTTTTTTTTTTTTTTTTTAAACCTTGACTGGTACCACTTCTCTTTACAAGGCTGTAGTTTATTTATTTGGCTTATGCAAAGATGTGACCTGTTTGATGATTTCCACATAGTTTACTATGCATTTGTATTAAACTATATTACAAAGTCAGACTCTTACTCTTCATTTGGGGTATTAAATAAAAGATTAAGTATATACTGATGAAGCATTGGCTGAAATTTAAGTTGTAAATACCGTCTGAGATGCCTTAGCAACAATTATTAAATTAATGAAAATGATTTCAGTTTGTTTTTAATTGGAATGGTTACAGCAAAGAACTCTAGATATAAAAACTATCAGATCAATACATGTCTAGATAAACTGATTTTCCTTTTTTTCTTTTTTTGGCCTTATCAGTTTGGTAGCTCTTTAGATAGATATTATGAAATTGTCATTGAAGCATGTCTATGCTTTTATAGTCATTCATTTCACACATATTGATTGAGTGCCCACTACATACTAGTCGTAATGCTAAATTCTAGGTAGTTTACTGTAGTATAAAACAGAAATGATTCCTGCTCTTGTAATTGCCAGTCACTAGAAATTGGTGGGGGCAGTGGTGGTTCAGTGGTAGAATTCTTTTCCTTCTATTTGGGAGACCGGGATTCGATTCCTGGCCAAGGCACCCTCTAGCACAGCCACCACCCATCTGTGGAGTGGAGGCTTACATATTGCTGTGATGCTGAACAGGTTTCAGTGGCGCTTCCAGACTAAGACAAACTAGGAAGAAAGGCCTGGTGATCTGCTTCTGGAAAATCAGCCAGTGATAAACCCTATGGGTTACGACAGTTCGATCCTGATGTGCATGGGGCTACCGTGGGTTGGGGCCAAATCGAAGGCAGCCAACAACAGAAATTGATGGAAATACCAACCATGAAACTGGTTGGTTGGTTGGTTTTGTTTATTTACTTAAAGTAGGTAGGACTTACTTCTTTTAACCCTTTGTCACTTAACAGCTTTAACTGTGGAGAAAATTGGCATGATCCTGTTAAATGTAAGGTGAGTTTATCTGGCATTTTCATTTTAAAATAATGTTATGGGGCATTTCTATGACTTCGTGACTAAAAATCACAGCCCATGATTTTATCTAT